TATTTATCAAACCTTCGCCTTCATTATAAAGAAAATCAAGTGGTTGTATAAGAGCAGAACGAGAATCAGGTGGATTACATAAAATAACTTTACAATTTTCCATATTAATTTCATCAAAATTAACATCAGTAAAACGTTCTTTAAAAATTTTTATACCTATAATTAATATGAATTTAATTTTTATGAAACAAAAAAAAAACATATGATTTGAAATAATTTACGTTTTTCTACTGCTCCTAATGTTTTAATTTTAGCTTGAATATCTCGAATATTTTCATCTGTACGACCACCGAATGCATAAATTTTTGATTCAAGTTCTTCTGTTAGTACAACTAGAAGTTGAAGTAGTAGACCTTAAAAAAAGAAAAAAGAAAATTTTTGTTTGTTTTTGTTTTTCATATTTTCTTTTATTATATATAAACATACCTCCACTAACATAAGCTAAACAAATATTATCTTTTTTTGTTAATAATTTTCTAACTGTATGTGCAGCAATACAACTTGATTTATCTTGTAAATATAAATGATTATCACGAACAAGATAATGATTAACAATACGTTGTTTTTGTGAATAATGAAATACAAGTAAATTTGAACAATGATAATCAACATAAAATGTTCGTTTATCCATTTCTGTTATTGTTTTAACTCGTTTCATTTGTTCATTATTTTCAAAGATTTTTATTACAGTTTCCATACTTTGAAAAAAACAAGTGAAAAGTAAATAACATATTTTCCACAAGAGATGAAAAATATGTCAAACTGTACTGGATCATATTGTCAACTTCTTAGGTAATCAAATATGTTTTTATTGGAGGGAGAAACGTCTGATGAGTAACATTACTTTAATTTCTATTGGCTTTTTTAGTATTGAAAGAGTATGGGAGAAGCACGTTTAATGATGATTTGTGTAGCAAAAAGAGTGGCCTCTCGACTGAGGTATCGGAAATTAAATTTTGCTGTTAGTTTGCTTTTTGTAAAGGAAACGGAAGAATTTTATCGTTCACACGACCTGGCCATTTTGCGTCGGTAATAAAAAAATATTTTTTTGAATTTTTCTCTTTTCTACTAAATTACTATAATCTGACATATTTCGAAGAAATAATACAAAAAGAATTGAGTTCATGCATGGTTTCTAAAGATGGTGGCTGATGTTCTTGGACACTCATAATTCTAACATAAGACTCTATTTTAGAAAAATTTCATTTTTTTCAATTAAAGAATTCGGAAATGCATCTAAAACATTTTAACGAATCTGAGACGATAGGGTTTTTTTTTATGAGTTACAGTTTTATGTATTTTTTTAATAAAATTTGGTTCACGTAGTCGAAAATAATTGAAAAATAGCAACTTTCCAAGTTGCAAGAGCTTTTTTTTAGAGGTGTTTGTTGTTTTGGCTTTTTCTACTTCTCGAAATTCATTCTAGAAAAATATGTTCGGTATGAAATTTGTAGCTGGAATATTGCAGTTTGTAACAAAAAAAAAATACTGATTGTTTTATAAGTCGTTAATATGATTTAACCGAGTTTGATATTTTTTTTCCATTTCTTTTGCAAACTTATGTCACTATAAAATAAAAAATTTAATTCTTTCTTTAATGACATACTCAGTTTTAATTAAGTTAACCCAAGCATAAACCGGTAATTCAGCTGTATGTTGTTGAACTTCACGTACATTTTCTGGTAATAGATCTTCAAGTGATAATGCTTGTGATTTTATTCTAAATAAAAAAAAAAATTTATATTGAATATATATCTAATTGTTTCTTAATCTCCACCTATTACGAGCTAATGCTGCAGCAAGTCGAGTTCGTTCTTGTAAAATAGCATTTTCAATTGTTGATACCAATTGATCATTATTTGATAAGTCTTCTTTATCATCAGGATCAATAGGATCATCACGTGGTTGAAATTTACGACTTAAGTAATCATATAGAATTACTGAAACAAGACTTAATTCATCTTTTAACTAAATATTATAGAAATATTTTGTATTAAAAGAAAATAAGAATTAAGAAATTTTTTACATCAGGATAATTTGAAAAGAATTGAGTTTCTTCGAGAAGTTCTTCAACAATTTTTTGATCTAAATAAAAAAATTAATATTATTTTGACGAACAAAAACAAAAACAATCTTCTATATAATTATGAAATTTCAACTCAAGAGTGTTTACAAAATAAATCCTTCGTGTCAAATTTATAATGACGACAAATATTAACATCTAGAGTATAATAAAATAAATTTTCTAAAACTCAACTATTTTAACAATCAAATGAATACAATATTGTTTAAATCATCATCATAATAAAAATTAATACCAATTATACAATGAATTATTCTTGCTAGAATTTAACGTTAAGAGTTTTAGAAAAAAATTAATTTTTACTGAGATACGAAAACTAATGAAATATTTTTTTCATTACTTTTTTTTTTTTGTTCCAAGTATAACCATAATTTAAAATCACTTACATCGTAAAACAGAAAAAGCTAATTTAAGTGTACGCCGTTTTTGTTGATCACTTGCATAATCAATTTTTGGTACATCAAGTGTTGATTTTTTAATTGGTATTTGTTCTTCTTTTGTACTTGCTAATGCTTTTAATATAGGATTTATATGTTCTTCTTTTAAACAATGATATATTCGACTTGCATAACGATAAACTGTTTGAGTATATTCTGATGGTTCTTTACGAAAAAGTTCTTCAAGTAAGGCTCGATTTATAGAACTATGTCGATTAAATATTTGACCAAATTCTTTCATACGCATACGATCATGTTCAACTAATTGTTTGTCTGGTGTTGCTTTTGATGTTTCACGATTTGTATTATTATTATAATCATTTGAAGTAATTAATGGTGTCGATGTTGTGCTCGGTGGTATTTGACGAGATGACATTTTAATAATGAATAAATTTTTCACAATGTCACGCAATATTGCGTGTTATCTAGAAAAACAGATATTATTATAATAAACAAAATAAAAATACTTAATGTTCATTTTTATTAAATAGATACCATAGAAGTGATATATATATATTTATTTTTTCTTGTAATAAATGCATGACGAATGAAATTAAATACCTCGAAAAGTCAGAGATGATCAGTCATTGGATGTGATGTTTACTAAGCAGCAACCTCTGTTTTTTTATTCTGTTGGCAACGACATCGTCAATGGCGCTTTGATATATATATATATATATATATATTTGTTTTATTATGATATTGTTGTAGTTTCCAATCAACTAAATCATCACGTTAAAAGTCATTTTATTCATTTGATCAAAACATTATCTTTTATTAAAAACAAAAAAGGATCAAATTATTAAAATTATCAATAGTAATGAACTTTAGTATACTTATATGTTTCATTAAAAATGTCTATTGTTTCTAAAATTAATCTTTAACCTGTGAACAATACTATATCAATGATGCGAATAGCGATCGAACGTTATTTAGATTGTTATTCGATTAATAACAATAAGCATCGGTCTGTTTATGATGGGGCAAAGAATCAGTAGATAACTAATATAAAGAATTGTATTATAAAGATTTTCAAATTATCTTGTCTATTGTTCATTTGATTGAAAAATTTCTTTTGATAAAAAGATTGTTCTTCGAAGTCTCCAGCTAAATGATATATACTTTATTTAATGAATATAGTCTTTTACAAATAAGGCATAATCATATAGTGAAATCAAGCATAAAATCTAAGAAGCTTTTCCTTAGGCAATCTTTTGATGAACAAGTTTGAATTTATTGATTATGTTGTAATATAAATTTGACACATAACTTCAGTATGATCATTCTATAACTCAAAAGGTTTAAATCGAGTGAAATTCACGATCAACGGCTATATGAAAATGATACACAAATACAGTTAAATCCTATTCTTCAATTGAGGGTAAGAATGTGCAAAGTAAGATAATATTTCACTAACACTCGCTTGTTTATGAGACAATCGAAATCTTCATACAATATAAGCTGTATATACCTAGTTTCAATAAGCAATTTTCTTGTCAACATCCATTTTTGGTGAGATTGGTGCCATTCTATTTATGAGATATTAGGTTTTTGTTTCAAACTGAGTGTGGACAATTCGAAGCTTGTGATAAAATGATAGGCTAAACGTTGTTGATCATTTTTTATTTACGAATTAATTGTTCGCAAATGAAACAACATCACTGAATTCAAAATAAATTTCCATTGACGATTTACCATTTTTATATTTATATATTAAAGTTATTCGGTATCGCTTTATTTTCCATCTCTTCTTTAGGCATGTCTGAAATAATAGTTGAATCGAATCATATATAATTTTGTAGTAAATTTTAAACGTCATCTGTTGATCACAAAAGTGTTTCAATTAGATGAACAATAGGAAAGAAAAAAAAAAGGGTTGGAAAGTACTACTAATGCGATGCTTTATAAACATTTAACTCAAATTCAAATAGTTATTTGAATAGCGAATGAAGTTCTCTATCAAGTGCATCGCTCACCGAAATTTCATAGATCAACTATGAGATAAATGTTTTCTGAAACATCAAACACGGTAGCTTTCAGATCCTAAAAGACTGTATAAAAATTAGTTTTTACGAGTATAATCTTAAAGAGCATAAAATTCTAAATATACATTGGTCATATATTTTCGATCAATACTGTGTGTTATACTTAAGCGCGAAGCTAAAAATATCCAATGGTATGTCTGATTGTCATGGTATATCACTTGACATCATCTACATATCGATTAATTGTAAGAGCAGAAATTAACTGTCTAAATTTATGTCGAAATAGAGACTATTTTAAACTATTATCAATCGAAATTACATCTGATTAGGTGATGAACACAAAAAAAACCTAGGATTAGTTTTTTTTGCCTGTCACTTGTTTTTTCATTATTCAATTTAATGAAAAATAAAAGAAAACTTGAGCGCATATATTGCTGTTCAATTTATTCTTTTCATTTTAAATACAAGATACAATGTGAGTTTTTTTTTGCTTTATTATCCAAGGCGATAATGAGACCAGAATGGATTTTTGTCACTTAAATATTGTCTTCGTTCATCTTTCTTATCTGGTTGAGATCGATGCATTTGGTATTTTTCAAGAATTTCTTGAACAAGATCATTACTAATAGATTGTGATAAACAAATTGTTGTTTGATCTTCATAAATAATATCAATATTTTTTCTTAGTAAGTAACCAATAAGAAATGTATTAAGATCGTTTAATTCATGTTCGTTTTCTAATTGTTGTTTATTCATGAGAACAACTAATCGTTGATCATCTTCATATGTTCGTTTACCTAAACGAGGTGAAAATGCTAATGAATTTTTTGCTGTATAACGACTATTATCACGAGCTCTTCGCCAATGTTGAAAATAAGGACGAGATATTGATGCTCGTTGATTACGATCAAGCATATTTGAAAAAAGATTTTTCGGCAAACATTCAGGATCACTATCTTTTTGTTCAAAAGATAAAAAGTCTGATGATAATAAAGATGAACTTCGTCGAATATCATCTAAATTTTTTTCATTTTGGCCAGTATTAATTATTTCAAATGATGATATTATTTGAAACGATGTTAAAGTTAGAAGATAAATGAAAACTATAGAAGAATAAAAGAAAACAACAAGACTCTTTAGTTTGAATTGATTTTATTTACCCAATAAGTTTTGCATGGTTGTATTCAAAATAATAATCTGCGTATACAAATGGTGATGTTAATGGAAAATAATTGATAGTATAGTTATTCTTTATTTTTTTTCTTTTATTCTCTTTTGATACACGTAATTTTTAAATCATATGCAGACATGCCAATTTTCGCCTACATATATTTCTATGAATATGTCAAAGAAATGAAATATTGAATATTTATCTAACAATAAGTGCGATGGTGAGAGAATGTTGGCGGAAATAGAGGATTGCCCTATATTTGAAAGTTATTCTTATATGAGTTCTGAAATAGAGCTTCTCTGTATTCTATTTAATTAAACATGCAATAGACCGCTTAAGTTTACACGTATGCCTTACTATTCAATAGTACTTAATAATTTATAAAAAAAAAATCTTTTTCATTTTAAGTGCAAAATACTTTTTCTTTTTATGAAAGCGTTTATGAATTGAGAATCTTTACACTAATGGATATTGTAAGAGCTATTATCTTTTTAATATATAATACAGTTTTACATCACAATAATTTAATTAAAAAACTACTTCTGCGAGATATTTAAAATCGAAAATGTAACCGTAATGATAATTGTATAGATTTATCTAAGATTTTTTCATTTTTAACCGTTCAGTGGCTTGTTCCATTGTTGTAACTGATTTTTTCAATGATAATGGATTAGATGAATGAAATTTTGATATATCTTTACGTTTGATATTATTCATTGGTATCTAAAATTGGTTAAAGAAATGACAGATATAATAATCTTAAAAGGATTCTTTTACCTTTTTTTGAGTAATCAAATTTTGATTCATTTCACGTGGTTTATCAATACCTATAATATCATAATGTATATATGAGCAATTCACAAATTAAAAAAGTGTATATCTTTGGATTCTGAAATTTCTTTTTTTCTTTACTAATTTTTATGTAACAGACGTATTTTGAGTTATTCTAGATACCGTGGAAAACTCTAGTAATACAGATCTTTGCTTCTCTGAGTTATTATTGAAAAGCTAGCATTAATAACGTGATACAAAAAAAGGACAAAGACTCTCACACTATACGCGTATTGCAAGTTCAAATAATATTTTTGAAAACTCACTAGTAGTACGTTGTGTAGAGAAAATCTCTACGAAAAGTTTGTCCTTAAGATGCTTAGGTTTTTCGAAAAATAGAGTTTATTCATTGTTAGTGATATAAAAAGTTCAAAAACAAATCCTAAATAGCCTCTCATGTAATATTTCTGTCTCACATGTTTCTATATTGATCGAAGCTGATATTTACAGTACAAACACTACATGTCTAGATCTACTCTATGTTAGAATCTCAGCTTTTCAATTATTATTATTACAGAAATACAAGTGATATCAAAATCATAAAATTTGTGGTCATTCGATCATCCACTCTCTACGAATAATGCTTGCTTTTCTGCATATAATTTTTCCATTTCGTAATGTGTCCACACTATTATTTTGTCTCTGGTGATTGTAACGTACAGAAACAACAAAATATACGAAAGAATTACATGAAAAAAAAAACATTGACGAACGTGTTGATCTCGAAATAGATAATGCAAAATTTGCTGATATTTGGCCGATTGACAATGTATGGGATATAATTAAGACAAGATTGAGAGGTGAACTATTTGATGACGAATTAGAATTAGAAAATCAAGTAGTACAATAGTGAGAAATATTTACAACAGTAAGATGCCAGTAAATGATGGAGAAAATACCAAGTCGACTGAAGCAAGTGATAGATCAAGGTGAAGAGCAAATATATAAACATTAATGAATCAGTTTTTTTCTAATTATTTATTTAAAAGAAATTCGATTTGTAAATCTCCTTTCGAATAGTACCTTTTACGTAGTATTACTCTTGTCTAAAAACTTTCCAATCACTCATTATATACCTGACTTGCTATTACTTTGTTGTATTTTTGAGTTTGGTAGTCTATAAAAATATTAATTGAATAATTAAATTAAAATGATACTACAAACTTTAGTGTTGATGTTTTTGTTTTTGGAAGTGAATCTGATCGATTGATCTATGTAGAATATGAATTAATATGTAATAATAACTAATATGTCTAGATGAGATATATATGTAACCTGACTATTTTGTTTAGTTTTATTTTCTTTTATTTTATTTCCATCTGGTGAAAGAATAAATGGTGAAGTTGATGGAGGTTTTTGTTTAGAATTTCGTACATTGATTTTTCTATTATCATCTGTATGATTTGTTGTATTTATCCAACTAAGTTTTTGAAGATCAAAACTATATAAATTCTTCATTATCGGCATTTGATCAGATGATTCAATTGTTTCACTAACATGTAATTTATAGTCATCAAATGATAATTCATGTGATAATTCTAAATTTGGAATTGTTGTTAATTGTTGCCAACATTGTGTAACTCGATTAAATAACTGTAGATCAGGTACAATATATGGTTTATGAGTATATGGATTAATATTAAAACCACCAGCAACATAAATATTGGGTCCATGAATTGTATCATTTGGATCAATAAAAACTAATGGTCGAACACGAATAATATTTAATTCAGGTGCATATTGCCATTGCTTATCTTGTGGATAACGAAGTATAAGATATTCACCATGAACAATTGATCGATTGCCAAGAACATCATATCCTAAAAAAAGTATTTAATAAGAAAAAAATATATTAATTACCTCCAATACAATGTAATACACCATGGTATGCACCAATACCTGGTCCAGTTGTAGGTGCCTATATAAAACTATATTATATGATTTGTTTGAAATTTTTATAAAATTTTTACTGGAAGACTAGGTAATTTTATCCATGTTTCATTAGAATTTTTTATCTTTAAACAATAACAATCACTTAATGGTCTATTATAAATATCATTTCCACCAACTGGAAAAATATTCAAAAATATTCTATTATATATTTCAATATTATCTGTACCTGCATAAATATATTTTTCATCGATACACAATCCAAAACCAATTGCCTAAAAAATAAAAACAAATATTCGTTTTGTCATAATTTGACGTTTGAGATCAGAGCTCTAAATAAGAAATACAGGAAAAAAAAGTTTTATTTGAATCAGTTCATATTCACATCAAAAATTGAATCAAGTTCTTGTTAGTTTTAAGTATAAATCTTTTATCATAAAATGAAAATCCGAAATTGGTTGTTGTAATTTTTCATCAAGAACTTCATATTTAACACGTTTCTTTAGTTTTGGATGTGGACATTCGTCTTCTTTTGATTAAATATGTTTCTATTCAGAATTCAACATGAGAAAATCTATCAAAGATTTGACAATGAAACAATATGCGAACTTGATAAAGAAACATGCAAATATGAACTTTTGGATAAGCAATTACAACAACTATTGTCATTTGATAACTAGAGATTTGTACTTCGAACAAGAAGAATTTTGTTGTGTATTGAATCTGAAAATGCTACCCTGTAAGAATATTTGAGAACTTTATATTCACGAATAAAAACTTAGAAGTGTCCTCAAACATCAGTATAACAACCAGTTCATCCAATGAAATCATAATGGAAATATACAATTTTCTTTTTTAGTCGATGACTTTCCAAACACCTTATATATTAACAAAAAAAAAATGAGGAAATATCTATCGAATCATAAAAGACAAAATCAAAATAATTTCAATGACTTGCTACATTCGGTAATGCTTGTATAGGAATTAATTTGTTCATTTGTAAATCATATTTGTAATCGCTAAATAGAAATTTTGTTACTCGAATTACTAACTAAAAAAGTCGCTTACCGTGAAGCTTGTTTTCTTTCTGGAATTTGATGATCGAAAATGTAACCTATAAATGAATAAAATTATTACTAATGGAAAATATATTTCATGTCTTTTTTTTCTAATGAACATTAATATACCTCCAATAATATAAATATATTTTTCTGTATGAACAATAGCAAAACGTTTTCTTAATTCTATTATTGCAAGTTCTTTGAGTGCATAATTTGTAGATATCGAAGTATCAGTTCCTTTTTTTGCAAGTGTTGCTGAATGAATGACTAGTGATGGTTTACCAGGTTCTAATTTTTCATATCGAATATCTTTTAATAGACCGAATCCTTGTCGAAGACCATTTATATTATATTCTGATATTCAAAAAAATAAGGATAATTTTTTTATTAATTAAAAAATTGTTTAACCGAGAAACATTATTGATTACCTGCATAACATTTAACCTATTTATATGTTAGGTAAGTTATTAATTTTTAGAAACTATTTTTTTTTTAAATAAATATTAGATCGTACTATAAATTTTGATTTACATTTGATACTGGATAGAATTTTTTCTCTCGTTTGTCGTTGTTTTTGTGCTGATATAATAGGTTCACGTACACATTTTATTTGTTCAATAGATTTTTTTTGAGGACATATTAGTAGAATATTAGAATTTATTTTCGGTAATCTTGTTGATAGATTATTATTTCGACACCAAGGAACGATATTGGATGCTGAATCGAAAAATCTAAGATTCATTTCAATGGAAAAAAAAAAGTTAAATCAACAAAATTTAAATATAGGCGCCGAGAGAATACAGTAATGTTTAGTTATATTAATCAAACAGATGTCGTATTCTATTCATTCTTTCCTTCCATAACCGATAGCGGTAATCAAGAAGAGGAATAAAAAGAATCATACTACATAGTACAATATGTAAAAGACGAAAATGGACGTGTCTATTTCATTTTCACTTTTAGTATCTTTCGTTTACACATTTCAATAAACGTTTGAATTTTCAATTTTATTTCTTTGTGTTTTATTTTTATTTTTTGATTATCTAGATGTCGACAGACACAACAGCAATAGGAAATCTTAATAATGAAACGACGAATACTCGTCGTGTTGAACCACCTGTTAATGTTTATGTACGTATTCGACCATTTATTGGCGATGAACTTGCTCGTGGTGAAAGTCAAAATATGCTTTGTATTCGTGATGAAAAACGTATTGCTGTTAAACTTTATCCAACAGCAACAAATAATATCCGACCAGCACAAACATCGTATAATGAATATGAGGTTTCACAGATTTTTTTTTTTCCAAAAAATCCCGAACTTTTTTTTTTTACATACACAGGTCACTAGAATATTTGATCATAATTGTACACAACAAGAACTTTTTGAACAAATTCTTGAACAACCGACTGATGAAATATTTACTGGTTCTAATTGGCTTTTATGTACACTTGGTCTTACGAATAGTGGTAAGAAAATTAATGATAGAAAGAATAAAAGATTATATTTTAAATTATTCGAAAATGATATCGCAATTATCGATTGTCTTAGAAAACATTCAAAGTGTTAGAATATAGAAAATAGCTTGTATGTAGTTTTATTTTGACAGTGTGATTAGCAACAGCAGCTACATCGTGTTTCACATTTTAATCTCATAGGTTTTGGAATAACAGCATTTTCATTAAAATAGCATTCTATTCAGTATATGAAGTTAATTAGAATAAACATGAAGAATTTGACATTAACTCGTGAATTTTCTTTTCTATTAAATTATTATTTTATGTAAATGTTTATAATGTTCAGCATTGATTGTGATGTTTTACTAAGTGTATTGTTTCTCATATTTTCAATTACATGTATAAGTAATTGTGAATGGAAAAGAAAAGAAATGAGTAGTTAATAAGATGGATCCTTATAAAGTTCTTTTCTTTTTACCTTTCGTCATAAGTTTCCCGTGTGGCACCAATAGGTAGAAAAATGAAATTTTAAACACGAAGGATAATCAAAGAGAAAAAAAGATAAGCATAATAATAGTACCTTAAACAAATGCTAATGATGTTTGTTAGTGTAAAAGTGTATATTATTGAATAGTGCAAAGCAATAAACAATGTTCAGAAGAAATTTTTTCTAAAAATTCAACAACTAATTCGAACATTGAAATAACAACACGATTACCATGATTAAATCTCGATGGCTATTCTTATGTCATGGACGGATCAGTAACTCACTAAAGATCTGTTAGGTATTCGTCATATCATTGACATTCATGTCTCTACGCATGTATCTTAACAAATACTTTTATCCAACTACCAATGTTTGATAGATTTGTTCAATATCATGACATATAGATATTTACGTTCATCTTTCCTCATGCTGAAATGTCCAATGGAAGCTTGTATGTCAAAGAAAACAATAGAAGTGATTTAGCTACTTTTATCCTATGCAAGAAGATTATTCTAGGAGTAATTAGAAGAAAGTCAACGTATCATAAAAACGTGTGGTGAAAGTAAACACTTTTTAGTATTAGTAAAATAGAGTTTCAGCTCTATCAGATGCACTACAGTTGAGAGATGGGGATGATTCTCTACTTTTTTGAAAACAACAAAATCAGTAAATTCTTATGTACGTAATTCATCACTGGGAACAGGGACACAGAGTGCTTGCAATCCAGAAGAACAGGTACTGCATGGACGAATTTCAAAATGGATACATCATGCTTCTGATTGCTCTTAAATCGTATCCAATATCTATTCAACTGTTCTTACCATAATCCTCAACTAATATCGTTTGAATTTATATGATTTGATAATATTCGAATGATCTATAAAATGACTTCATTATTAGGTAAAACTCATACAATGTTTGGTACACCAAAAGATCCTGGTCTTATTCCTCAATGTTTACAACGTATATTTTTACATATTGGTTATAATATTGATGCGAAAGTTTTATATAAACCTGATGGTTTAGAAAATTTAGTACAAACAAATATGAATAATCTTCAAGATGAAATCAATTATCGTAAATATATATTTAAAGATGATAAAGATGATTATGTATGTGTAATATTATTGTTAATTTTTTTAATTTATTGATTCAAAATACATTTTTTTTTTAAATTAAATTTAGCGCCGAAATCATTTACAAAATATTGTTCAAGATCAACCATCAATTCTTGATGATCATTCAGTTGAAGGTAAAAATAAAACAAAGAAAAAAATATTCATTTTCAATTATTTTCTAATAAATAGATGAACATTATTCTGTCTGGATATCATTTTTTGAATTATATAATGAAAATGTATTTGATTTACTTATTAAACCAAGTGCAATGAAAAAACGTAAACCATTACGTTTAATGCAAAATAATGAATCAACAATTATAAAAGATCTTGTACAAATTCCAGTTTTTGATTTAAAAGAAGCTGAAGATACAATTCGATTTGGTTATTCAAATCGTGCAACATCAAAAACAGATTTAAATGAAGCATCATCACGTTCACATGCTGTACTTTGTATTACATTAATTACATTTGATGAATTTGAAGAAGAACCGACAATGAGTCATATGTGTAAGTTTAGTTTTAAAAA